CCTTACCAACGGTAAATCACCGATTTACTTGACTCCGCTACTTGAGCAAAATCACCACGAAAAGACAAATTAGACTACGTTCGCCCTCTTATTAAAACAAAGAATGTAAAAATTTGATGTCGGTCAAAGAAGAGGCCTGTGCTTCATGGTTTATTAGATAGGCCATGGTTTATTAGATAGGTTTATTATTCATCGGATTTTAGTTCATTATTATAGCTTCACCTCGCGAAACCCCTTTTATATATATTTAAAACACAGCACCCCACGGGTTTCGCGATCATGAAGAAAGGGAGTGTAGCAAAGAACCTCATTAATGGTCGTAATAATTGGTGGTTGCATTGTAGGCCTAACCTTGTTCATTTTAGTCGACAGACTAGGCTAGAAGAAAGAACAGATCATTATCGCCTCTCTTTACTTAGGAACAATAACTGGCTAGTGGCAGCATTTATAAGTTCTTTTATTTAGAAACTCCCGATCCTTTGTCTGGGACTGCCGTTCAACGCCGTTTAAATGACGTTCGAGAAACGGCGATAACGACAGAGACGTCCTCGAACATTTTTGGACTCAGTGAAAAAAAAAATCCGTTAAGAAGTAGCCTTTTAATGTCCTGGCAAATAACTTTGCGATCGCTCAGAGAGTTCTAGAATGAATGACAAGAAACGACATTAGGGTTAATAATAGACTAAAACTATCAGAGTGTAGGCCTGTCTTACTTCTAAGACCATCTTGTGATACGAGTCATGCTACACTACAATAGAGGGGGTAGCAGTGGATGATTTAATACAGGGATACCATCGAAAGTTTATCAATAGAAAATCGTGATTCCCAAAATGTTTTTTTAATTCATTAAATATAAACGGTTTTTTATCGTGCAATGGGTCTGGCATAGTTGTATTGGCCTATCAGTTGGAAACACGTGGTTCGTCTACAATTGCAAATGGCGGAGGTGCCGTGGAAGTTATTGTCGTAAAATTAGCTGGATACGTGCACGTAAGAAAATTATTCATTTAATTTAGTTTTCAAGCGTCAGCTTAATCTGGTAAAATGCCGGACGAAAAAAATCATAGATAGAGCCTTATGGCCCACTGTATAAGGATGCCAAAAAATACATCAACGACGAAGTTTATCGGCAGATAAACGTGTTTCCATTCTCGGCTGACTGAGGAAAGGTTTGAGAGAACATTTAAAGAAGAGGCGGGCGAACCAATAGTGAGTAGGAAGTGTGCTGCAATCAAGACGAACAATACCGATCATAAGTGGACAGCTAATAACCCCTAATTAACCCCGGGNTTATCAATAGAAAATCGTGATTCCCAAAATGTTTTTTTAATTCATTAAATATAAACGGTTTTTTATCGTGCAATGGGTCTGGTATAGTTGTATTGGCCTATCAGTTGGAAACACGTGGTTCGTCTACAATTGCAAATGGCGGAGGTGCCGTGGAAGTTATTGTCGTAAAATTAGCTGGATACGTGCACGTAAGAAAATTATTCATTTAATTTAGTTTTCAAGCGTCAGCTTAATCTGGTAAAATGCCGGACGAAAAAAATCATAGATAGAGCCTTATGGCCCACTGTATAAGGATGCCAAAAAATACATCAACGACGAAGTTTATCGGCAGATAAACGTGTTTCCATTCTCGGCTGACTGAGGAAAGGTTTGAGAGAACATTTAAAGAAGAGGCGGGCGAACCAATAGTGAGTAGGAAGTGTGCTGCAATCAAGACGAACAATACCGATCATAAGTGGACAGCTAATAACCCCTAATTAACCCCGGGTTACGCGCTGCTGTGTTGACTCCTTGCTGGGAAGGGGTAGCGGCCTCATACTGTTGTGCGTAGTCACACATTGTCTTCTAACATGCGGCTACACGTCGGTTGCATTGTATTAATAAAGTAATACCTATTCATAAGGAAGGGGGCGGATGGTAATCTGACGAGTATTAAATCAGTTATCGATTAAACGCGTACCAGTAGTCGTGTTTTTTAATAGCTACACGGTATATCCTCATGACACTGCTCTGAATTAAAACACAAACCTTCAACCAAATTTAACAAATATCAGTGAGATATCTAAATGACTGTTACACTATTTTTACATATTGAAATAACAATGGTTGATTGGACAAAAAAGTATGGCTGCAACAATTATCTGTTACTTTGGCAGTGTCAACTCCACATCAATGGTTACTCACCTGCACTGCCCTCTGCTACATCTACCGTGTCCAGTGCACATCCTCGGGCATTCATTCCCTATGTAGACATGAGCCAAGGCCCAGGTGTTCGTTACATCAAATCCTTCCTCCTGAACCCACCGCAACCTGGTGGAGCGAGATCTATAAGGAAGATAGGCCATTTGTTAAAGAATGCACATATCATCAGCCCCCCTCCCCACAATATTAATGAAGTGCAACACTCCAGTGATTTTATCTACGCACAATGGTGGTTTACCAGGGAAGAACCAATGATGTCTTCTGGGTCTTCCAGAAGACGGTCAGAATTTTTACAGTTTACACTGATGGGCATTTAACTTTTTCTGTCAGAAGACTGGTAAAAAATGGAGGATGGATCAACAAAGATAATTTGGAAGACTGTCAGAAAATATTTCTGGAGCTTCCCCTGTTATGTTACTTACCATATGTTTTTTGGTCAATTCTGATGCAATAATACATTATGCTTAACACCAAAATCAACACCAAATTATAATTATGAGAAACAGATGACATGGATATTGGGAAAATGTTACTAGCAAAATGCTTCAGGTCTATCAAAGTTCAAATTCACACTTTGAATGTGCCAGAATGAGAAAATTTCACAAAAATGCATAGTTTTTTTAAAGATAATAATAATAATAATAATAANAACAAGCACACCCAAATGCTAGTTGTGTGTGAATTTGATGACATTTGATAGCGCCTTTTCAATTTAATAGACATTTCTTTACATCTGCAGAAATCACAGTGAAACATTGTATTTGAGGGGGTGCCTCTTATAAATTTTACTAAATGGTATAAAATGTGTATACTTTCACCACTATGTTGTATTTTTGGAACCATTAATCATGTTAGGCACGGTATCTGGAATAAAAAGTACTATTTCTAACAATGTACAGCTGTGAAGTAATCATTTGTAAATAAAAGTACATGGAAATGGGGGTAGGACAACCTTTTTGACCAATGTTGTATCTCCGAGGACAAAACTTTAGTCAGTTTGACTAAGCTTTCTTATTCAACAACTGTGGCTAGGCCTGTTACTCCCTTCACATATGATCTTAGTAAATGTTATGTAAATACTTTTTAATCGAAGTGAAAACGCAAACGACATGAATTTAGCCAAGAGAACGATTGCTAAATTTACAAGAATGAAAATAGATAAAGATCAGCTGCTGATGATAATTATTGATAGAGCAGTTTAAGAGTACTCAGTAGTATCACACAAGCACCGTGCAACCCCAAGTGCTATCCAAGCCTATTAAACATTTTATATGGATTTTAGACTATAAATAAGTCTTATTATTATTATTAGCATCGTTAATATTCTGATCTTACTTACAAATAATAAAGGCCAAAAAGGTACCCGGGCACTATCAACGCCAGATTCAGGTGGCGCCAGTCTTTTATGAAGTAGGCAAACAGCACGATGTAGAAGTAACCAAAGCTAAAGAAATACATTATACCAAAACCGGCTAGTTTACGCTTACTCGGGCCCACAAATTCAACTCCTGCAAAAAATAAATAAAGAAATAAAGAAAGAAAGAAATTCTGAGAGCGTAGGGTAAATAACAGAAACTTAATAAATTACGGGAAAAAGGTATCTTAATTCGTCACTAGCTGTAAAAACATGGGGTTAATCTCTCTGTCTCTCCTCAGCATACCTAGAGTGTATATTGAAAAGAAAACACATCCGGTGATGATCCCCTGCAGACCTAGAGACGCTATATACACCGTCATGGAGGGAGACAAAGCGGTAACTACACCCACTGACACCGACAACATTACGGCCACCAGGAACGTAGGTCGTCTGCCGAACCTGAAACAGACATCACTTCTGAAATATGAGGTTCTTGAAAGATAAAGGATATTTAAAGAAGAACATGTCAGGAATACTTCCCGTTTGTAAATTGTTATTTTGGTTGAAATAACCACGTATCTAAACTCCAAAATTGCGTTTATAGATAATCATTATTTTCCACTGAACGGTGCATCTTTATCACCAAGGTTTTCGAGTCATGTTTGGCGTTTTCAGAACAGTGCTGCCATGGCATACATGTATATACCCACCATCAGTAAAATAACAAACAAGGAGAACATTAAAACCATATAATTATACCTAACAAAAAATGAAAGTGAATTAAAATGTCCATAATTAATTGACTTGGTCCAAAGCAAACTCACCTATCACTTATGGTCCCACTTAAAGCGTCTCCCACCACTTTCCCTACAAAGAACGCGGACTGGCTGGCGCCCACCATCCACTCTCTTCCACAGCTCAAATCAAACTGAAGATAACGCAGGGGATAGATCGATCTTATATAAGATCAAATGAAGTTGGTATATGAGGAAGCTCTTGTTTTAGATATGTACAGTTTGTCAATGTCAGGACGATCTGAGAATAAACTAGCCGCTGTGATCACTATGCTGATAAAATACCAACTTACACACGAGCACATCATGTATCTAAATCTCAAGTGTGTTAAAAGACCTTTCCCAGAGACTATGACTGGGTTCCTGCATATTTGGATCGATCTATCTCCAAGGGGATTCTCGCTTAATTGCAATTAACTAAAGTGGCTAAGATGTCTGTTACGCCTACTGAAGCTGATAGGGGGTAATTAACTATCGTATAGCAGTAGGCGTCCCAGACATCTAAACCACTTAAGCTGAAAGCAATTAAGCGAGAAACTCTGTGGAGATGGACCAATCCTGTTAGATCGATCTAGGGATGGGAACCCAGTCTAAAAGATACATTTCCACATCTACCTCTGACACCACCGTTGATGTATAAATATCCTGGCTATATTCCAGTCCCAGAGGACACGCTATGCTTTCTGTCTCGTTAACACTTGGAACAGAGTGCGTCTCATTATAGGAGGTGAGAGTTTGGTTAGGCCTTGTCCATGGATAAAGCTTACAACTGCTTCTAGTCAGTTGGCCGCCGTTTTCTTCCCAAGGGATGGACAGGTTGAGCAGCTCCTCGTGGGAAAGGTTGCCGTAGACCCTCTCCGCGCGCGCCACGTGCTCAGCGGGCAGTTTACAGTGATGTTTGGGCGTTGCCGCCAGGAACACCGTCGCCAGTAGGGGTAATATTGCATATAACCCAACAAGACATACCAGAAAATACTGTCGTCTCTGGTAAGTACCAAACTCTCCGATAACCTGCAGAAGCCCGTCCAAATGCATTGTTTTAGAGTTAAAAGTGGATCTCTCTCTTTTTCCACTTGATTCTTTAGTTATGAAGTTGTAGCACGTATATATATATATATTTTGTAGAGACATATTGTCGCCACACGCAAACTGCGGCTAGATAATATCACATTATATAAATGACGTGGCTAAGCACCATACTTATGGCACCCACTGTCAACTCATCGCTTTGCACTGTGCATTTCACAAAAATCTTAATAGCAGTTTTGTTGATAAAATATGACAGTGTTTTGACCCGGCGACGAGCTTTGATTTGTTTTAATGGGGATGGAAACATGTGAATACTGCATTGCTTTTGAATGAAAAGTTTGGGCTTAGTTTAGTTTAGTTTCAGTTAGGCTGCTTAGGACCCAGACCTTATATTAACAGTAAGTATGTGCAAAGACTGCTTTATCGTATGAATTTTTGCTGGTCACACAGGACCTGCAACAATTGTGATCATGGGAGTGGGCCAAAATTTATTTTCCATGCGGTCGTAAACTTGGAGTTAAAGCACTGTCACACCTAGCCTGAAATATTGCCCATACGCAGACTTAACGTCATATACGTCTCTAGTACGCACACAAACCGGAGGTAGATGGCGCTGCTTTTATCTTCATTCTAATACGCTGAAAACAGGGCGGTTTCATACGAGTAAGCTGCACCCCCCCCCCCTTTCAATTTTTTTTTAATCACACCAATGGTCCTATCTTCAAATGAGAATTTTGACAAGCTAAATCAGGTCTAAACCGAATCAATTAAATGGCACCATTAGGTAGCCCTCTGACATATCAAAAGTTTCGGGGCCATTCATTCGGCTTCGCATCATGGATCCGCCTCTGGACGACACATACGACTCATACGGACCGATTCTTTGCAAGGGCTTAAAACGCACGTCTGTGTTCCATGTCAGTATCAAGTAGTGGCGTGTTCTTTATTACGATAGTAAGCAGCATCACGCTTGAACATGTGTAAGACTAGGCCACTATTACTACACACATCACAAATATTAATATTTTAGGCCTAATACATGGACGCAAGAAACCCGTAGATTAGTTTTCAGCTGCAGTCAACACATTACTGATCCACTGCATGGGAAACAATGTCAGCATAAAACATGCTACTTCAGCAGTCTAGCTAGGTGTTGCGCATTTTCTGCAATTAAATTAGATTACTATAACTTACTGAAAAGCCATTTAGAACTAATATAGGCCTAAACCATAACATTAAGCTTGTATTCAAGCAACAAATCGAATTAAGTGCCGGGACGGGTTTTGTAATGAATGGTAAGCGCAATTTGCTTTCGAGAAAACAACTAATTTTCATGGGTAAATCCTGTGTAGAAAAGGGCCTACATTTAAGACATGAAATATCTGGGTTCGATTATACATACATAGCCTACATGTATGATATTATTGTTCATTAGGGTAGACTATTTTGGTAGGCCCTTGTTTTAAGGGTTATAGCCTACACGTAGACATTTTTAGGTTCAGCAACCAATGACGCCAACCATGGAGACAAGATGAGGCATATGACAAGATAAGTAAATAAATTAATAAATAAAATTTTAAAAAGGAAATTTACAAAGTAGAAAAAATTGGGTTTGGTGGATTTCCCCATGCCTCATTTTGTAAAACTGGAAAATTTAAAAATTATTAAAATAATCTTAGGACCACAACCAGCCACAGACAGGACCCCCTCTCCATCCTGGCCCCGATCCTCCTCTCTTCGTTCAGCCTCCACCTCTCTCCTCCAGGTGTGCTACGTAGGCTACGTACGTACTGCCTCTCACTGGGGTCCCAGGACAGGTGCAGAGAGCTACTAGTAGTGTGGCGGTTGCGTCTATTGTGATCTTTCTAAGGGTATGACCAAGACTTTTCCAGTATGAGCAATTAAACACAAATTTATATTTCACACGGTTATTATATAAACTGGATTGTGCATCGTAAAAAGACGTTACACTGACAGCAGAAACGAAAGTAAAACTTGAGAAGAGACCGTTAAGCACTGACATGCTCTTTAGCACACGAAGGTCCGATTATCTTAAATTTGACCCATACAGTTTCGCGCCAACTTACAAAATGGCAGATCGCGAAGAAGAGACCCGGAAACGCTGTAGCTCAGCGCCAACTAATGGACTTCAGTCCACCCCGGAGAAGAAACCGTGTTTAACAAACAGGTAAGTGTTATCTTAGCTTAAGGTGGCAATTCTACGAAACATGTCATTGGATTGTTCACCTAAGCGTTGACATAAATTGTTATCTAATTTCACGTGAACTTTCCACGTTATCTATGATATCATATATCATGAATTCCAGACCAAGGTACACTGTGCATTTTTGACTATTGGCTTAGGACAATACATTGTTTTGTCGACCTCAGAAAAGTGATGTCGGACGAGGCGAATTTTTACTCTAGAATGAATGAAATGTCTATCTTCCAAAATATTTAGTTGCATTATTTCACCATACTGGGCAGTGCAGCCCCTGAGTCCATCAGTGAACTTTTTATTACCGTACTGCAATGTAATGATTTTGATATTGCAAAATGCACAACTAATTTTCTTTATGATTGTTTTAAAGATAGGGATATGAAAATTGCATCCATGCTGAATAAAACCTAGATTAACTGACGATGCAGTTTTCATATCCCCCTAAATAATAGTTAGTTTAATATAAGGTTTAGTGTAGCCTATTCTAGTTGAATCAGTTTATTTTTTTATTTTTTTTATTTTATTTTTTCATTTATTTATTTATTTAATTTTTTTTTTTTTTTGTTATCCCTATATTGATCTTTATTGAGTAGTACTTGTACTTTCCCTGCTTAAGTCTAGACATTATATAACATATATCAAACTGTATATGGTAATCACTCTGCGGATTACTTCTTGTATTTGTATTTGATCATGCCCGGATGTAGGGCGATTGTCAATAAACTTCTGAATCTGAATCCTAGCACGAAAATTCATGCGTTAGCACTCCTATTGACGATTCTGATATGTACTGGCTGTGCTGTGCTGTGCTGTGCTGCCAGTACATATCAGAATCGTCAATAGGAGTGCTAACGCATGAATTTTCGTGCTATATTTCACCATGCAGATACTGGTACTTAGCTGAAGTTGAAATATACATGTACTGATCGAGTATCAGCGATTTCTGAATAACTAAGCCAAAAGTTGATCAAAGAAGGTCATGGGATGGGGTTAGAGGTAAATAAATAAATAAATAAATAAATAAATAAAAGGGGTTAGGGTACTTCTTGAATTTCTGTATGAAATAGAAAAATTGTATTTAAAACTATGATGTTAATCTTTGCCTGGATTCTGTATTGGCAGAGATGAGAACAAGAAGAGAGAAGACTATCTGGAATGGTCGGAATACTTTATGGCCATAGCTTTCCTGTCAGCACAGCGCAGCAAGGATCCCAACTCTCAGGCATGCCACTCCACAACCAGACCATTTCGTTCCTTTTTTTTTTCTTTTTTCCTTCTTTTCTTTCTTCTTTCTTTCTATATGTTTCTTTCTTTCTTTATTATGTGTGTATGTATTAATTGAGGATAAAAATATGGTAAATATAAAATAATCTTCCCAAGGCCCTCATTGGTTTAGCTGTACGTCCTGTGCACTTCTCTTTTTCCCTTTTTCTAAGGTATTTTTTATTATTCAGTGATCAAACCTAGTAATTTGGTTTAAAAAATTCAAGTAGTTATGTCAGCTTGTTTGATATTGATTTAAAAGTTATTTGATGAGTGTTCTTACCAAACTGAAAATATAGAAAACAGAATGATAAAGTAGATAGAGAGGGTTTAGAGATTATTAGTTGCAGAACGGTAATAAAAATTGTTGAATTTTGAAAAAAAATTCATTTTCTGTCGTAAAACAGGATTTAATTTTATGTATTGAAAAGAGATCATCCAGAGTTGTTAGTCAAACAGTGGCTGTATCTCTCCCAGGTTGGGGCGTGTATAGTGAACCAGGAAAACAAGATAGTGGGTATTGGCTACAATGGGATGCCCAACGGTTGCAACGATGACTTCTTGCCTTGGAGAAGAGTAGCCGAGAACAAACTGGACACCAAATATCCCTATGGTAAGAGTTTAATACTTAAACATCAATGTCATGCTATAATTCACTTTGTCAGGGTAAACAGAATAATTTAAAGTGAGTAAAATGTTTATAATGTGTTATTTTTGCAACATCATGTGCATCATGTACTTTTTTAATACCATCATCAATCATGTAAACCACAAACAACAGACCCTTCCACTAAATGAAATTTTCTTGAGATCCTTCATATTTATATTAGAAAATCACACATTTGATCAATTCTACATGCATATTAATAAAATAGTTCATGTGTGACAAAAGCGTTACAATGGACTGCTGATAACATCTGCACAGCTGAAATGCAGCCGAGTTGGTGACACCAAGGTCATTATGCGCCCCTTAATTTATGATATCAGACACACCTGACAGGCATATAAAGCTCACTAATATCAATAGGTGTTTACACGGAATTTGTCTTAACATAAATTTAAATGCTGTGGAAAGATCTTAAACAACTATAAAGATGTCATTGCTTGATAATTTTTAAGGTTTTAATTTACATATCTTTATGTGTTATTACTTATCATTTTGCTGAGAAAACATTAAGCAAAATTAGATATGATAATTAAATATGTATTAGATATGATCAGAAGATAATTAACTGTGGTCAAGGAAAATGCAAAATGTTTGACTTATATTTTCAGTTTATCAACAATTAATGAAAAATATGCAGACTAAAACAAATCAAAGCAAATAATTAGAATTATAATGATAAATAAAATTAGAAAAGTAAAATATTAAAGTGGGGTAAAAGGTCAGAAGATGGACACATACACGCTTGCTCTATATGTTATGCAATAAGATGTAGACTGCAGTAGTCTGGTCCCTCTGATGAGTTGCATGCCACGGGTCATTAAATCAGCATATGAAAGGTTATAAATCAGGTGGACAGATATGCATGAGAGGCTCCACCAAGGCCAGGCCTGAGAGTGGACATACTGCATGGAGGAGGATGAGACGTGGAGATGAAATCTTACTGAGATAATGAGAGTGAGTGGACAGTAGCATATCAGGATATGGAGGGATATGGAGTGTTCTGTTCATGTGATGTGTTTTGCAGACCTTGATGCGGAGATTTTGTAGTGTTTAGCATGCAGGCTATTTGGGATTATCAAGGAAAGTTGCAGAGGAAAATTTAGGAACAATTTTTGGAAAATAAATCACAGCTGGGTATCGTATATGAAATATTCCTTAATCAAACTCAAGTCCTTTTGAGTTGACAGGTTGGTAGGGACAAATTCTTTTGAACTGCAGTGTGATTCATCTTCATATTGCTGTACTTTTCTACCACTGGATAGGACTTGAGGATTTTTGAATGTGAACGAGGAATTGAAGTGGAGTATTGCCACTGCTACAGTAGGAGCTTGGTTACCTAAAGATAACATCACTGTCTGGTGAAATCACATATGGAAATATAAACAACCTTGTGTGGAGTAGGACTGCAATATGGTGGTGTAAGACCCTCTTATCTCCTGACTTTTCCCATGTTTTCTCTGACTTCACAACATTTACTAAACTTTAACTGAAAAAAAAAAAAAAACGGTTGTGATTTTCTAATACATCAAATACAAGTTCAAAAGGTGAAAAATGATGGATGTGATGTCTTGTATTTGTTCACTTTGCCCTTGTGGCAAACGCGGTTATGTCAAATGGATGTTTTTCTACTTGATGATTGCTGCGGTGATATTCCTGATCAAAGTCCAGTGGGATATTGGAGTAGTGACCCAAAGTGGAACAACAGGTGGTCAACAAGTGACTGTATTACCTCCAGCAGAACCAGTGTCTACCTCAGAGGGGCACCTGTTTAGCACCTCTAGCCAAAGCACCATTGCTACAGCCACTTCTACTGGCACTACTCAAAGTCATGTCACTACCATCACTGAAGACAATCTTGGGGGAAGGAAGAAAGCCAACTCCAGCAGAAAGGCTGCCAGACCAGATCCCACCATGCTTGCCAATGCGCAGACTGAAGCACAATTCAGGATCATGGATAACATTGTGGACTTCTTACAGAAACAGTTCCCTTTTAAGACAGATGGTGTTCATAAGGAAACAATGCTGCTGAATAAAGTGACTGGAGCGCTTGAAGAAAATGGGCTGCCGTTTCTTTGGATATTCTGGGAGGGGCCTAAGAGACCAGCTTATGTTGATCTCTGCTTGCTTACCACTGTGTGCCATAACCATAAACAGTTCAATGTAAGAATACTGAACAAGAGTGAATTTCTGAAGTCAGTATCAAATGTTCATCCAAGCTTTGTTAATCTCAGTATGGTCCACAAAGCTGATTACTTTAGAGTGGCCATGCTTAATGACTATGGAGGTGTCTACTTTGACTCAGACACCATTAGTTTTAAAGGCATGGGCAACATGTACAGAGATCTCCGTCACTACGACGTTATGGGGGCGAGCTCCTATACTGACAGCATTCATTTTGGAAACCTTGGTCCTTTCCGAGCACACACAAATTTTACTCAGAAATGGCTAGAACAACTCCATGCCAAGTTTGATCAGCGTTCAAAAAGCCTTGAGACAGGAAATGACCCCTTTTATTGGTCTGAGGTAGGGGGCGCTGTTGCTGTTCCCATTCTTGATAAACTGATTTCCCAGAATTCTGTAAGATATCACAAAGTAAAAGGTGTCAGTACTTGGATACAGCTGAACCCAAATGAACTGATGAGTGAGGCGGGGGACTTGGTTAAGAAACTGAAAGAGACAGAGATTATGTCTTTAAATAATAAACTTTATCCTGATAAGTACAAAAAGAAGACCACTCATGAGGTCTTAAGATCTCGCAGAGGTTTATCACAGCTCCTGCGCTATTCTCTGGTGAAATGTTGGAATAACTTACACTGAACTTTTTAATTTTTTCAAATTTTGTACTTACACTGCTGCAACATTTATTTTTGGGTTCCTAGTAAACATATTTAAATAAATTGGATCACGGTCAATTTATGTGAACAGATTCTTCGCAGTATTTTAGGTTCTGCAAGTGCAATATTAAATGGAGATGAAAATATCCTACGATTATAATTCTGATAATATAGATATATAATAGAATAATAAAAGTATCTAACAAAGATTTTATTTCTTTTCAATAATGGGTGTCCAAAATCCATTGCAAATATGAAAGATGTGCTTCAACTAGTCAGTAACGATTATCTTTGGATTTTTTTAAACAATGCTTTTGAAGTTGAATTATTTACTTATAGCATTATTATTAAACAGCTAGAATAAAGCTAAATTTGTTTTTGTTTTCTTGTACTTTATAAGGGTTTCCCCAAATTGAAATTAAATTTATTTTTAAAGTAATGCATATTTGCTTGTTTATTTGCCCCAAAAGATTAAAATAAAAAAGACTCATTTGCCCCAAAAGATTAAAATAAAAAATACCATCACACTTGACTGATAGCAATTTTTTGTCTGTATTCGGATAAATATTCATCTTGTGAAAACTTGCCATAATAAATGTCAGATAATGACATAATAAATAAATATAATGTTGATTTTCGTGTTAGCTAATAACAAAGAAAATATTCATTCCATAAGATTTGTTTGAGATGAGGGATATTTGAGGTTGGAGAGGAGATGGTGCTGTCTGCTATATTTGGTAATTGCTTCAAACTCCAAATGCCATGTTTATTCATATACTTAATTTTTTCAAGATTTTTATCATTTTAGACATTCACAAGAAGACTTGCAGACTAGAAGTCAGATTTCAAAACTTTTTTCTTTTTGGTTGGAGGAGGATTATAAATGTGTGCTTTTTGAATTTATTGAACTTTCCTTCTATTGCAGTGTGTCATGCGGAACTAAATGCAATATTGAATAAGAACTCTGCAGATGTGAAGAATTGTACGATCTATGTCGCATTATTCCCTTGCAATGAATGTGCCAAGCTCATCATCCAATCAGGGATCAGGGAAGTGATCTTTGTGTCTGACAAGTATCACGACATTCCGGAAATGGTGGCCTCTAGGAAACTTCTGGATATGGCAGGTGTCAAATATAGGTACAGTAATTTGGGGATATTCTTTTGCCAGACTTAAGCAAAAAGATATGTTAGGCAAAGGGTGTTTAACAAGCCATATCTTCCAAGGTTTTGTTTTTATACTAGTTGCTTGGGTGGTTAGTTTGACCATGAAATCATTTTCTGATAATCCTGCAAAAATAAAATGATTTGAATACCCTGAAATATTTACATGTTCTGTATGCAACTGAAGAAGACGTGTTGACGGGAATAACCTTAATATTCCTAACTGTTCTAATAATATGTACCATGTAACTGTAAGTTGCGGAGACTAGCTTAGGTTGTATTTGTCTTTGTTATATCAGTTCCAAAGATATTTTAAGTTTTAGAAAGAAAGCTGTAATCTTAAATGTTTTTGTCTCCACTTCCAGGCAGTTTCAGCCCAAATCCAAGCAGATTGTGATAGATTTTGCAGCAATAGACGGGAAACCGCCCAATCCTTTGAAGTCCATTGCTTCACCATAATACAAGATGGGAGGAAACTTAAAACAGAATTGGTCTTAATTTTTAGACCAAGAATTTCATCCCTTTTAACTCAGTAGATTCATGGCAGTCCACTAGCCTAGTGAAGTAATGGCCTGTCACATGACCCATGTCGCTATTGTTATGCAACAGTCACAATGTTTCACCAGGTTGGACTGTTGTGGATCAGGGTATACCAGGAATCTTAATCTGTAACATAGGATCAGATTTTGGGCTTGTTATTTTGTGAATCAGATTCCCTTGTTTCACTTTTATTTGGTATCTTTTTTCACTCATACATGGGTAATCTATGAAGTTAAAAGGCAATGCTTGCTATGATTTGATTTATGTGTTCATCTTGCACTGCCTTGGTGGTTCTAGCAGTATAATCGCTTAATAGAAAATGTTTATTTTCATTGAAAAAAACATTTAGGAGAAATTCAATTTATTGTTCACAAAATTTGTTCAGATATTGGAGGAGAATATTTCTCATCCTTTTGGATTTTAAATTTCAAAATAAGATCAAGAGAAAATGCCCAGGTTATTTTCTCGTTAAAATTTGAAGATCTGATTATGCTGACCCATATTATGGGAATCCTTTACCACGTGAATCTTTTATTGTATGAGATATTATAATTGTTTGTTTGTGATTAAAAAACATTTCNCATTGCAAATATGAAAGACGTGCTTCAACTAGTCAGTAACGATTATCTTTGGATTTTTTTAAACCGATGCTTTTGAAGTTGAATTATTTATAGTCCGGTGGCTTAAGGAAAAAATCGTGACACGGCGGATAAAAGCACCAAATTTGGCATGCAGTTACCTTTTGACATTCTAAATCAAATTAGAGCCGTAGCCCTCTCAAACAATTTACCGTTTAGTCAAAAAATCCAAAATGGCCACCAATTTATGGAATTCTATAGAAATATGTACATACCCATGTTAATTTTTATCAAATTAATTATTTTCTCAGAGTTTTCCACACCCTAATTACCCTTTTTATTCATATATGTCAGATAGCAAACAAGTTCCCTTGGACTTTATGAAAAAATCCAAGATGGCTGTCATATGCCATAGAAACAGCCATAGGAATACTAGTGCACAATTAATACCAGCTAGAAAGATACGTTGTTCACTATCAAATTAAGTCTGTTTCTCAGATTTTTGTGACCCATATAATATGTTTGTAGTGAGGAACTACGAAGTGTTCTTGGGCATTTTGGAAAATCCAAGATGGCTGCCATGTGCCACAGGAATTCTAGTATACGGGGGATTCAAATAATGGCAACTGGAAAGATTAATTTTCCACTATCAAATTAAGTTTGTTTCTGAGTGTTTTACACATCCTTTCCACCCACACATAATGTATGTGGTGAGTAAGTAACATATATTCTTGGGCATTTTGAGAAAATCCAAGATGGCCGCCATATGTCTAAAGGGTTAGAACTAATGCCAGCTAGAAAAAACATAATTCACTATCAAATTCAGTTAATTTTTTCAGTGTTTTACACATTATCATTATTACACTGTGATACATATATATATATATATATATCTAGCAGGTAATAAATGTGCATATTTGATCATTTTGAGAAAATACAAGATGGCCGTCATTGGCCATAGGAATACTACTGGAATTACAATTGCACATCCATGGCTTTTCATCTACTACCAGGGTGAAATTGTGTTTGCTTATCAAGTTTTGCCCATCCTTATTAGTCCTATGGTATATATCTGGTGGGTAAATAGTGTGCATCCTTGGATATTCTGAGAAAATCCAAGATAGCTACAATTTGACATAGGGATACTGATGGGTGGGCTCAGTTGCTGCTAGAGAGGTATATGGTTCATTATACAATTACATTACCATGGGTTTGTTTTAAAAATAATTTATGTTTTTCATTCTATTTATTATTACCCCTATGATGTATACTTCGTCTGTAGCATGTGTGTATCTTTGGGTATTCTGAAAAAAAATCAAGATGTCTGCCTTTTGTCATTAGAATATTCGTACACATAATCAAATAATGTCAGAGATACACTGAGTACAATTTAAATGTAGTTAACTTTAGATCGTTTTTAAATGTTTTTCCTTTCATATCCTATTTATCCTTATGAAAGACTCTGTGTGTGTAGAAAGGGTATGTATCCTTAAGTACTATTCGGAGAAAACCCAAGATAGCTGCCAGTTGCCATAGGAATATATCATTCAAATGCACATAGGTGTCAATTAATGGAACGGTTCAGACATTGATTCCGACATGAAATAAAGCCGTTTGATGTTCAAACATGTTGACATCCTTATTAACCTTACTCTATATAAATCTGGTGTGTAGCAAGTGTGCATCTTGCGTATTTGAGAAAATTCAAGATTTCTGCAATTCACAATCAATAGTACAGTCAACTAGTGCCAGAGAGACATTGGGTTCAATATAAAATGAATGTTGTTTCTCGGTATTTCCCACATTCTTTTTGGACTTTGAGATATCTATCTGGTGGGTAACAAGTGTGTACCCTTAAGTATTTTGACAAAATATTATGATTACCCTGATTTGCCTTAGAAGTGCCTATAAAATCCAGTGCACCAGTTTTCCTATGGGGAAAAGAAGGCCATCTTGGATTTTCCCAAAATGATCAAATATGGATATTAATTACCTAACAGATATGTATCATGGGATAATAATAATAATAATAATAATAATAACTGAATTTAGCTTCATTTTATATGGAAGCCTATCTCTCGCAGGTATTAACTGAACCCCACCTTCTATGGCTAATGGCAGCCATTTTGTTTTGTTTTGTTTTCAAAAAGGATGCACATAACATTCTCATCACATATTTATCATGTGGATTAAAAAGATGTGGAAAATACTCAGAAACAAACCTAATTTATCAATTAACATTATATGTCCATGGCAGAAGAAGCCCTATGTGTATACTATAGTGATCCTTGGATATGGCGGCCATCTTGGATTTTTCTCGAAATGCCAGAGAATAAAGGTTAGTTACTCACCACAAATATATTATTACTGTAATAAGGCACTCAGAAACAAAATTAGTTAGATAGTGGGCAATGCATCTTCCTTGTTGGCATTAGTTGAAAACCCTTGTACATGTTCTAGTATTCCTATGCCATACGGCGGCCATCTTAGATTTTTCAAAAAGTCCAAGGACACTCGTTTGTTATCTGACATATATGCATAATAAGGGTAATAAGGATGTGGAAAACATTGAGAAAATACTTTATTTGATAAAAATCAACATAGGTATGTATATATTTCTACAGAATTTCACAAATTGGCGGCCATTTTGGTTTTTTGGCCAAACGGTAATTTTTTTCCGTGGGCTACGGCTCTAATTTGAATTAGTATGTCAAAAAGTACCCACATGCAAAATTTGGTGCTTTTATCCCCCGTGTCACGATTTGGTCATTTTTTTGCCCTAAGCCACCGGACTAATAAAGCTAAATTTGTTTTTGTTTTCTTGTACTTTATAAGGGTTTCCCCAAATTGAAATTAAATTTATTTTTAAAGTAATGCATATTTGCTTGTTTATTTGCCCCAAAAGATTAAAATAAAAAAGACTCATTTGCCCCAAAAGATTAAAATAAAAAATACCATCACACTTGACTGATAGAAATTTTTTGTATGTATTCGGATAAATATTCATCTTGAGAAAACTTGCCATAATAAATGTCAGATAATGACATAATAAATAAATATAATGTTGATTATCGTGTTAGCTAATAACAAAGAAAATATTCATTCCATAAGATTTGTTTGAGATGAGGGATATTTGAGGTTGGAGAGGAGATGGTGCTGTCTGCTATATTTGGTAATTGCTTCAAACTCCAAATGCCATGTTTATTCATATACTTAATTTTTTCAAGATTTTTATCATTTTAGACATTCACAAGAAGACTTGCAGACTAGAAGTCAGATTTCAAAACTTTTTTCTTTTTGGTTGGAGGAGGATTATAAATGTGTGCTTTTTGAATTTATTGAACTTACCTTCTATTGCAGTGTGTCATGCGGAACTAAATGCAATATTGAATAAGAACTCTGCAGATGTGAAGAATTGTACGATCTATGTCGCATTGTTCCCTTGCAATGAATGTGCCAAGCTCATCATCCAATCAGGGATCAGGGAAGTGATCTTTGTGTCTGACAAGTATCACGACATTCCGGAAATGGTGGCCTCTAGGAAACTTCTGGATATGGCAGGTGTCAAATATAGGTACAGTAATTTGGGGATATTCTTTTGCCAGACTTAAGCAAAAAGATATGTTAGGCAAAGTATGTTTAAAAAGCCATATCTTCCAAGGTTTTGTTTTTATACTAGTTGTTTTGGTGGTTAGTTTGACCATGAAATCATTTTCTGATAATCCTGCAAAAATAAAATGATTTGAATACCCTGAAATATTTACACGTCCTGTATGCAACTGAAGAAGACGTGTTGACGGGAATTACCTTAATATTCCTAACTGTTCTAATAATATGTACCTGCAAGTTGCGAAGACTAGCTTAGGTTGTATTTGTCTTTGTTATATCAGTTCCAAAGATATTTTAAGTTTTAGAGAGAAAGCTGTAATCTTAAATGTTTTTGTCTCCACTTCCAGGCAGTTTCAGCCCAAATCCAAGCAGATTGTGATAGATTTTGCAGCAATAGACGGGAAACCGCCCAATCCTTTGAAGTCCATTGCTTCACCATAATACAAGATGGGAGGAAACTTAAAACAGAATTGGTCTTAATTTTTAGACCAAGAATTTCATCCCTTTTAACTCAGTAGATTCATGGCAGTATTCACTAGCCTAGTGAAGTAATGGCCTGTCACATGACCCATGTCGCTATTGTTATGCAACAGTCACAATGTTTCACCAGGTTGGACTGTTGTGGATCAGGGTATACCAGGAATCTTAATCTGTAACATAGGATCAGATTTTGGGCTTGTTATTTTGTGAATCAGATTCCCTTGTTTCACTTTTATTTGGTATCTTTTTTCACTCATACATGGGTAATCTATGAAGTTAAAAGGCAATGCTTGCTATGATTTGATTTATGTGTTCATCTTGCACTGCCTTGGTGGTTCTAGCAGTATAATCGCATAATAGAAAATGTTTATTTTCATTGAAAAAAACATTTAGGAGAAATTCAATTTATTGTTCACAAAATTTGTTCAGATATTGGAGGAGAATATTTCTCATCCTTTTGGATTTTAAATTTCAAAATAAGATCAAGAGAAAATGCCCAGGTTATTTTCTCGTTAAAATTTGAAGATCTGATTATGCTGACCCATATTATGGGAATCCTTTACCACGCGAATCTTTTATTGTATGAGATATTATAATTGTTTGTTTGTGATTAAAAAACATTTCTTTCTTCCAGAAATAAAATGAAAAGGATGAAAACAAATAATGAGTTCAACAGCATTTATTTACAGAATAAGTTATAAAAATATACTCCTTGGAGGCCATCGTGGACTGGTCTGCACGGATAATGGTTTAAAAATTTCAAAATCTTTCTCTTCACAGAGGGAACATGAGGATGTTCCTCACTGCAAAGAAATTCACATTAAAAAGACAATCAAAAGTTCTCTTTAAAATCTTCAAGTAAATAATGTGAAATTATGTGACATGATTCAATAAACTATAAATTACTTTCTAACTTGTACAATTTTTAAAAACAACACCTCCAAAGAAAACAGTTAACACACGTGATCATTGAGCTCACTTCAGGTGTAGGAAATTGACTTTTAATATACAGTAGTGGATGCCAGTGGAAAAAATGGAATAAAAGGAGTGAAAGTTACATTGTGGTACATCTCTCCTCCACAGTTCCTCGATCTACACACACTAAAAGTTTCTATGGCAATTTCACAAATCTTTTTAACACAAAATGAAGAAATGCAGAGTCATAAGTGCATTGTGGCATAGTACATAACAACCAAGAATATTGCAAGATATGAAGCTGGGTTTAAAACTGGACAATCTGGTCCTGCTAGCTCCTTGAACCTATAATGTCCCAATTTCATCTGACTGTAATAATAACCATAAATATGATGAAAATAAACTTCAAACAATTTCAACTTCAAAGTCCATGACTACATGGACCTGGATATGCCCCCTTGGTGGCAGCTTATAACATGAAATTGGAAGAGCTTTTGAAGCTAACAGACCATTTCATGAACAACATCAATTATATACTGTACATAAGGTTGGGGAGATTCTTCTCTTTTCATTGCATCACAACTTTCAATTCCAATGTGATGACTGACAATAAATCTGAAATCTGACAACTGTCTTCTACAAATATCTCCATGTTGCCTTTCCCATACACTGCATCCTAAATAGCTACACTAAGCAAAAAGGATGTATTATTTTTCGACTTTTGCATATGTGCAAAGATTTTAGTGCAAACAAATTTATATATCTAAAACAATTCAAGTCCCATGCCAACAACATAAGGCAAGTAAGATATAATCATCCAGTTCTTATGTGTGAAAAAAATATGATGGAAAAAATACTTCACACTCATTGTGGGAATGCTTGGGTTTTCTATACTATGCAATATAGTTTCCCTATTAACTGCAAGCACTTACATGTATTATATAATTATAAATGGCTTATTAAACCAGAGATTCCTCAAATGTTCAGTTCAGTGGGCTTTGGAGAGTTCTGTACATGTTTTAAGTGCTCTGCACTTCTACCTTATTTAAATAAGATGCAGTATTCAAGCATCTTTCTTAATTCTGTGAATTCGAAGAGGCATTCATGTGAAAATACACCTTTCAAGCAGGTCCACCTTTCACCAAAAGCACACTGGCAAAAATGTTATGCACACATACCGCCTCCACAATAAACTTGCAAATATATAATGGACATTTTAATAATTGCTGTAGCAACATTAATCAATAAATTGGCCAGAGAGATTACAGGAGTTTCTTTATCAATCTATTATCTGTATGCAAGTGAAACCAAAGAACCTTGGACAGTTAAACATTTTTTCCAAGGACCTTCTTGCATGATACTGCCATCTATCTATGTGTTTTCTCCATGCTTCTTTTCAGAGCATCCAGCTGTTCCTCAGCCAGTTTCATTTTATCCTCCAACTCATGATAATCCATAGTGAGCTTAGTTTTCATGTCCACAAAATGCTGGTAATCCTCAAACTCCTCTTCAGAGAGATACTCCTTCAAAAATTTGGCAACTTGGTTGCTACGACGATCTATTCCCTCTTTCAACATTTTGGCATCTTCATGCTGTTTGCTGAGCTTGTCTCTCTTCTCTTCCAGAACAGACTGTAAGAAAGGAAACTGGACATTAGCAATGGGCAGGGTATTCTGCAAATAAAACCTACTAGTAAATACCTTTATTTTTTACCACAGAGGAAGTGGAGAACAAAAGACTCAGACCTGGTGTCCATCTGACACAAACATACGTCATGTATGAATTTAAGATCCACCAATTTTTGTGTCTTTTGTTCTCACCATTTGCCCTGGGATATGCCTATGATACCACTCGCCATGCAGCTAGTACACAGCAATGAGCCACACACATGAACTGTGAGGGATTATCAAAAGTAACATTGGACCCAGGCTTTATATTTCTTCCACATTTTCATCCATGTAGTTGAATACTTCAACTAACAGTTGACCTTAATGTCAATGAAAAACTTGGTCTGCAGAATTCTTGAAGAAATAGATTGGAATGAAAAGATGTTTTCCCACAGCAGACGGTTTTAAACCAGAACATCATGTTTTTGTTTAAAACTGCACTCTTAATATCTGATCCTTTTACTGGCCTTCCAATCAACAAAGATACACAACGGGGAAGACCTTTGTGTAAACAATGACTTCAAATTATACATTTACCCTCCAAAAAAAACACCATCTTGCCATGAATACACTTTAGACATGATTAAAATACCAGTACATTAATAAATCTTGTCCTGTGGCAGAAACAGGGGTAGGAAAAAAGATCAAACTGCTATTTGCTCCATAAACATTCTACATTTGATGTGAAATGGGGAAGATCATACAAAACCAGCACTCAACACTTATTACACAGGAAATTAAAGGTGCCCTTTTTTCTCATAAAGTAAAGCTTCCCTATCACCTTATTCTATCATGCATGTATGTTTAATAATTATACAACATACTAATGGAAAGACCAGGGCTATGTTGTGTGTATGCGACTGCTCTGTAAATATACCTTCTCTTTTTCGTCGGCATTTATATCCAGACTCATGACAGCGTTCTCGGCCCTGGCTAGACGCCCAGACAGCTTGAACAACAGCTGCATGATCTTGACAAGTTCATCAATGTACGACTTGTATTTGTCTATCTCGCTCTGCTGTCTGCACTTCTGTTCCACAAAAGCAGTGACCTAAAGTGAGAATATAGTGACTATATTATAAACAATTTAGTTCCAGTTTTTCAAAAGTTTAGAAAACTGTTTTTTTTTTTAGCAAATATGACTGTTTGAATTTTTTCTTTTTAATTTGAGAATTTGGAAGTCAATCCCAGGTTTTTTATTAACAATGGCACCTTCACATCTTCTAAATTGTGGCATCATTTGTAATTTCTGTGTTTCTACAATTTCTTGGCTGTTTTCATACACTTTATTATAACTCCTCTTCAACAAATTTAGTAACATGAAAAGTAATTGTAAGCACAAATATAAGAAGTTAGGTGTTTTCTTAGCTTACATGTTTGCCAAGATCATTGTTCTGTTGTATTTCCTCTTCCAGTTGTTCTTTTTCCTCTTTCAAAACATCTAGCTTTTTCTGCATACGATCAATAAGTTCCTCCTGAATAAAATAAAGATAAATAGTTGGTAAGCTATTCATGGATGGACTTTGTTGTTCTGAACTGGTGTTTTTGAGTCTTCATAAATCAATAAACACCTTACAAAGTGAACTCCAATGTAAGACCTATTTTTTACAACCACTTCTGAAAATTCTTCTATGATCAGTTACAGCTAATTTAATTCCTACAAATCACTTATCTTGTATGTTTAACAAGGGTAATGGCCAAAGGCCTAAAATTTTAGTTCCAATTATCACTTTCAAGTATTATACTCTGAAACCTTCTCTTACCTTTTTCTTCTCCAGATCATTGGTGTCACTACATAGATCTTTCAGTCGTTCGTCTTTACTGATTCCTTCTTCTCTCATTCTGTTCTCCAGTTTGGCCGTTTCGGGAGAGCTCCAATATGGAGAAGTTGGAGGGAGGGGGGAAGACATCCTAGAAAGAGTGAGATTTTTTCAATAAAACTGTAGATTGTCTATCACATGTCATGACAAGGTGACCAAGAAAAGATAATCAAAAGAAGCCTTAAAGTGTATAATTTATGGTAATTCTGGTTTGGAGAATGGCCATGCCAATAAAACAAGGTGAGTCAGGTAAAAATTGGGCATCTACTGAATCCTCTTTTAAATTATATTGCCAAGTGAGTCACTTAAAATTCAGATTTATTCACTTACTTTGCATCACTTGAATTCAAACTGTTTTCCTTTTCATCTGTGTTGGACCTTGCCTGAGGAGATTTCCCATCAGCCCCTCGCCTGCGATTACCTGTGGGAACACATCCAGTTTCAAACAGTCCATTCATGTAATCAGTTGTCTTTTTCATCTCAGAAGAGGGCGCTAATACTGCCGACAGCTGCTCGTCTTTTTCACGAAGCTCTTTGGCCAGCCTTTGAGCCTCCACATCACACTCTAGCTCTTCCTGCGATACTTGACGGCGATGAGATATCACCGGTGCAGCATTATTATCGTCCATTGTTCTTTTCTCTCCATCACTCCCCTTGTCTGGCCTTGGTTGCTGTTGCCTCAAGTTGAGTTCAGCAGGTCGATGGCGCCCCAGATCTTGTGCTGCCACCTGCTGGCTATCGTAGTTGTCACTTGCGTGGTGTTGGTTGTACCACTGCTGCTGACGTAACTGTTGCTCCTGTTCATACTTTTGTTGTTGCATTAATTGTTGTTGGTACAACAGACGGTCACTGCTTAGTCTTCTATCAGGCGTTGTAGTCTCACTTACTCTCTGAGCAGACGACAACTGCTGTGAATTATTCCTACTGGAGTCGCCATCTTCATTGGCCTCAGGTGAGCTCTCACGTCCAATAAGATGCAAGTTGTCTCTACTGCCACCAAACTTGGCAGAAATCTCAGCAACATTTGATTTCGGGGGAGATATTTTTTCAATTGGTCTAAAAGTATTTTCTCTTGATTGTTGCAAGTGGGCAATTCTTGCTGTGATTGACAATGCCTCCATGTCTGAGATGCCGCTATCTTTACTCTCCTGGGTGCCATTTCTGTAGCGAACTGTTGACGTGAAAGCTGAATTTGGGGACCTGACCACCTGTTGTTGACTTGTTGGTGGAGAGGAAGTTGCTTCTGAGAGTCTTTCATAATTCCTGTAGGAATCTCGCTCACTGTTGTTATTTCGGATGACTGCAGTTGGGGACTTCTTGATGATTTTCTCCTCCCTAGGTGGTGCTGTGCTCACTTGTGAGGAACTGCTCTGGGGCGTTGGTTGGCCATCATTGAGAGAAGGTCGACGTCGAAGCTGACTTTGGCGTGGCTTAGGGATGGGTTTTTCTCCTTTCACTGGCTCAGGCTCTGGGAACCTAAAAACAGCAAATGATATATATTAATCTACAAAGACAAAAAAACATTGTGTACCCATAGCCTATTTAAAAAAACACCTTTCAAAGTATGATTTAGTTAGAACAACCTATTTGAGTAGTGATTAATTTCTATCAAAAAGACCCACAGAAGTCACTTATTCTCACTAACTGTACTGGTTTAATTTACAAAAGTAGAAGCAATTACATCTGCATTCACACTGACAATGCATTATAATAAATCAACAGTGTATGTATACTCAGTGGTTCCCATACCCACTACTCCATGTTAGCCTCCTTTTGATTTTTTTCCAAATTCTTGCTGCCATGCCAAATTTGAAAGGGTCACTAGACAGTGAAAATATTTGCACTCAGGAGATCCAATGCTCAAAGGAAAAAATTCCACAAATTAAGCGTATGACAAAATTCTCATTCCCTGTGCTCATTCCCTGTGGTAGTTTAAATTAAGTCAGGGTTTCAATGCTGTGTTCAAACTGCAGCATTTAAATCTGTGCTCACATATCAATATTAGTTCCTATCTCTGACCAAACCACAATAACATTTCTCAGATGAGAACCCCTAATGCTTCATTTAAGATATCAGTACATCCCTTGCATAAGAATAAAGGTGCAGCCAAAGAAATCTCTGTTCTCTTTTTTCTTCTGTTGGTATTCTTTGTTTAAAATATCCAGAATTTTCATTTTCGCCTCAGCATCAAATCTTATGGTAACCCATGTTAGTTCAGTCTACCATGTTCTCAGATAAAACTATTCCTAATGGCACAGAAGTAACCTTCCAACAATAGAGAGTTCTGAAGACCCTAATTACTGTATCGTCCCAATCCTTCACATTCCATGTTATCCCAATATACACATACAAGTATATTTTTTCTTCACATGTAACAAATCTCTTTGATTTGGAATTTAACTTGAAATTCCAACATGGTTCCACATCTTATTCAGCATCCTTTCCTCAGTATACAGTCCATAGTTCTCAATCCCCTGTTTTTCTTAAGCTAAATACTCAACTCCTTATGATCCCCATAAACCTATGGCACAAGACTGAAATCTTATTCCTCTCTCCCGAGACTCTTCATACCATAACAGCAAGCAATCAGCCTGTGTTTGGTCTCCCGCTGTGCAGAGATATTGCTATCTTTCAAACTTCTGTAACTCTCAGATCACAAGGAAATAGCAGAGCAGTTCAATCATTTAACCAATTAATGTCATTCCTTTCAAAAAAAGATACACAAAGTAAACATGACAACAAAAAATCCAGAAGAAGGGATCAAATGACACCTGGATGCTGACTGAATTCTCTTTCCTCACAGTGAAAAAAGCAGACGTGATCCTTTCCCTGACCCTTGTCTGTCTAATCTGTCAGATATGCACTATTTCAGCCCTCTCACACATAGCTCTTGGTGCTGCAGCCAATAATGTAATCACCCTGAATATGTTATTAATGACCCATTAGCATTCCACGGCAGAGCCAAAATGTGGATTAGATTTCTAAAGAGGAAACACCATTTATTACAAAGGTGTCTAATTATTTGTCTAGTGTTATTTATTATGTTACTATAAATTATCTCTAATGAGATTCAGTTGCAGCATTTTTCTTTCTTTTTGGTGGCTTTTGCATACCAGTTGCGTTAGGTGTGACTTGTACTTTTTCCAACACAATGTAAAAGGTGTCAGGGTGGACCCGCAGTTCTTCCAACACAACAACAAATGTGCTATTCACACTTCTTTTGATGGAATCTGATCTTCACATAAGGACAATATGAGGTGGAATTCTAGCTAAATATCCTATGCTGCAGAAATGATCATTATGTTGACGTGCAAGGATTTCTCAACATGTTGTAGATGTAAACGGCTACAGTGGAACCTACATGACCAGTCACCTTATAACTCCATTTATCTTTTATCTCAAATAATTACTGGAAAACATCTTTCCTTTGTATAGGCTGACATTTACATGAAAATCAAGTAAATGTAATCTTCAACTAACTCCAATATATTTTCTAGCCCTACAAAGTTACTCTGAGCCCAATGAACATATCTGACATAAAGTCAAAATAAATGTCAAATGCTTCGTATAAATCATACTTCTATTTTTCATCCTCACCCATCTAATATCAAAATACTTCTAAGCAATTGTAATCAACCAAAAATGTCAGGCACAATGCAAAACAATAAATTGTCTCAAAATGAATGTTGCCACACTGTTACCAAGGCAACTCACAACAACAATACAAAAACACTCAACTAAGGATGGACTTAGGACAAGAAGGGGATCCCGCCTAATATATCTAAATAAAGATCGATCAAGTGATTAGGCTGGAATGCTGACTGCTGAAGTCATTACCACAGAAAACAAAAGGCCCTTAACATTTTTCAGGGTCAGTTATTTCACCTCTCTATTTTTGGCTCCAGTTTTTGTAACTAATTGGTGTAATAACTCTTATGACTGGAACGCCACAATGCATTCCTCTGTTCTGGCAATCTCTGTGTTCATATCCATATTATAGAACAACCAGGAATACAGTGAGCAATTATGAAATTCCTGAATCATAGCTGAGGGTAAACATGAAATCAGGGGCCTCTAATATACAAAATAAAAATATATGTGATACAATACATTTTTAAATGTCTGCTAGTGGTCAGATCATAAGCCAAGGGGTTACGTATTTCTTACAATAACATGGCTCAAATATGTCAACTCTGATATCAAGATCAACATGAAGACTTTCTTCTGTTCCTTTTTAATCTCAAGGTTATATATTTCTCCAATTGTTATTTTCTTCTTCTCTTTTACAATAAATACCCAGCCAAAGTCAAGGTGAGGTGGAATAAGGTGATGTACGCCCAATTTGTACACTTTTCAGAGTTGCATTGTAATAATAACTTTTGACAAAGGTCAGCTTCACTTCTGCCTCTCCCTCCACTTAAAATGTTCCCATACCTTAACCATTCAGATTTTCTCCCATCAAAAATTATCAGGTGCCTCAGGTCAGTCTTGGGTACTTTAAAACACAGACACTTAACATATTTCTAAACTTTATACCAAAACAATCCTCCACCTCATTCTTGAAGTCATCTTACCAACTCTTGTTATAAAAAGGTCATCTGGTTTCTAAGGTCTAGGTTATTCTTAATAACCAAGTGGTACAGAGAAGCTAAAGCATCATATGATCCATCATGGGAAAGAGGTTGATACAACGTACTTGATTTAAAACCCCAGGCCTGTAAGAGTTTTTTAATGTTACGTACATGAATGAGTAAAACCCATTTTATCATTATTTGCTTAATAACCAATAAATATTCTTAGCTTACCTCATGGAACTTTCTCTGGAAGAACTTGGTACCCTGTCAAAATTAAATTTTCTGTTTTCATCCTCGCTGAAAACATCATCTGGAGTTGGCTGAAGACCCACGGAACTTGGCGTCAGTCCTGGCGATCCTGAAGACTCAGCGCTCAGATAACTCTTGGGTGGTGGCGCTGGTGGTGCCAGTCCTGGCTCCCCATTGGTTCTGTTGTTTCTAAGATGGCTGCCACCCTCTGTTATCCTGCCAGATGAGTCAATATTGGAGTAGTTATGAGAGGTGGAGATCCTCTTCTGTGGTTGTGGAATGTCTTGGTGTCTGTCGCCATCTTGTGACAGTTCTTCCTTAGGACTGCTTGTCCCAACTGGTCTGAAGGCAGACTTAGGCTGGTGAGCCTCGTTCATGACCTGTGGTCGTTCCACAGGACGCGATGTTGAGATGTTCATCCGTGTTCCACTTCCATGGTGAATATAACTTGGTGCACTGACAAGTTTAGGTTGAGACTGAGACTGGGATAACTTCCTGGCCTGGTGACGCAGCTGATCAGCATAAGAATCCTCCTGCCCCAGGTTCTCGTAGTTCTGTACCTGTCGCCCATCTCCCCAGCGGGTCTCAATGCGGTCCTGCCTGCGATCCATGTGTGGAGGATACCAGTGGGGATCAGCCGGACCTTGACTGCGCCTGTCGCCACCAGAAGGTTTGTAATTCCGTGGTGGCAGAGGAGGCTTATCGTCTTCCAGAGAGCTGGAGCTTGTGTTCTGCTGATGTGACGGGGCCTGCGGGTTGGTGAAGGTGAACCGCTGCAGATCAGTGGGTTTGGTAGGCGAAGCTCCTCCGCTTGAACTAGAACAGAGGAAATGATACATTTAGAGATACATCACAGATCACAGTTTTACTGGAGGTGGGTGTATAGAGGTTCACCACAAAGGGAAGCCTCACACTACGCATTATATTAGAATCATTTTCTTTTCCTTTTTTACATAAAAAAATTGAATAACAAACGACCTTATATCGAACAATGAACATTTTGTATTCAGAGATGGATCAAAGGAGTTTTCTGTTAATACTGTGTGACAACTCATGTAGGTTTTAGTACAACTTCATTCAATTCACTTAAAAAGGTCTGCAAGTACAACTTCAACACATGAAAATCCTGTTTAACGTTTGCTGTTCAATTAATATTTTAAGGTAAACTTTTATGGTTCTGTCAATAAAAACACACACATGCTAGTATGTGTGAAATGGAGAGAGAGAGAGAGAGCGAGAGAGAGAGAGAGCATAAAATCTATAACTGTGGCATCAAACCAGCAATTTCTCACAGACAAGCCATTTCACACCATATCTAGGTTGGGAATCACAACTTCTGCTGCAGCCAGAACATCATCATCATTAGCTGGATCAATACACTAACTAATTAAGCTAAAGTAGGACTGACTAATAGACCCAAGGTGATAGATCTATCTCAACTTTCTCCAAACTCTCTCAGAAATTCAATTTTGTATTACTGCCACTGTAATGACATCAACTTCTCTGCAGAGAGTCCTTCATATTGCTTTCTCATCACGATACCATTGCCAGAACATGTTAGTTTAATCAATGCTGTACTACTCTCTGAGCATGGAGCCGGCATTCGTGGTACAAAGTCATCATATATGGTAATTACCTTTAAATTCGAAGTCTCACTTTTTCAAATATTTTCTTTTTCGCAATTTATGATTTCACGACAGTCACAAGAAAAGCAATCCAAACAGGAATCAGGAATGGTTGTTTAAAAATGAGGACATGCATCCGTTTGTTATACAAACTATCTGCTTTTCTTACAAACCATCATTTCTACCACAGTGACTGTAACCCATAGCATATGGTCTTTGTTGTAAATCCTTCAAACAAACAACCATCAAGTTGTAACATAAACAGTTTGCTGGAATGCAGATATACCTCACCATTTCTACCTATCTATACCTGCTATTAACCCAATAATATATCTTAAACTAAATGCATGTATTAAGTCACCAAGTACTTATAAGCTGTTTAACATTACAAGATGTGTAACAAAGGTGACATCTGATATGTCTCCAAGTCACCAATCTCATCTGGTGACTAACTCCAGAAATAAATTCCTCAAGATGTCTTCCTAGCTCTATCCTACCTGTCAATACAGGTGAGTGATCTCAGTGAAGATAGCATGTCTCAACATGTCCATTTCATTTGGTCATCACGTCCAGCAGGTCAGTTCCATATACACTCAATATAGAGCCAGCCAATGCTATATCACAGTGTATATCTGTATCCTATAACTTCCAGGTTATTATCCATGGCACCTGATCCTATTTGCTGCTACTCTCTCTCCCCCCCCCCTCACCTCTAAGTGTCTGCATGCACTCCAAGCATTAGAACCCTCCTCCTGCAGTCATTATTACCATGTGGACAGAGATGATATCAAAGAATGGTCACAGATAGCAAACACTGCAGTGAAAATGTCTTGTAACATTTGAGGAATGTTGTATTGTTTTCAATATTGTTCATATTTGTTTGTTACTTTTTGAACTCTTTGTTCTCTTTTTTTTTCTCTATGTAAATTTGTTAAGATCAGATAAAGCTCTTATTTTATCAAATGTGATTGATTACTTTATCAAATTGTTATGTTTATCATATTTACAGATGAGGTTACCTTGGCAACAATTACCACTACACCTGAATAAACTAACAGTAATATGTTTTAGAAAAATATCCATTAATCTGTTGAAAAGAATAAGGTTCCCATACAAACATGGTCCATTTGATGTCTATACACAACTGCTATAAAATGAAGAAATTATATACAGAGATTGCATATATCTCCAGTGTGATATAAATAAAGGTGGCAGCTCATCCTATTCTGTATTGGAGATCTATCAAGCTATGTACAGCAATTATTTCAAACCTCTTCTGTTGGCACTGCTTACTTGATTTGTTTGGCATAATGTCATCAAGCACATAAACCTTGATAATAGTCAGTTTTTGTCTTCTATTATCTACACCTATGTATGACTCAGATATATTTCACAAAGAATTCATTTGTCTAATGCTTTACTAGTAAGAATACAGTTTCCAATAAAGCTGTAGAAAATGAGAAGCTTAATTATCTACCATGTACTCTTAACTCTAAATTTAGTAGGTGAAAATAAGATTATTTGGAAAAAATACAAGACTTCATGAAAAAAAAAAAAAAAAACGACTCTATTTTCCAATTCCAGAAATGATACAGAGATGAGCAGTTTTGGTGATGTCTGAAACATGTGGTGGCAGTGAAGAGTAGCCCCCCACTTCTCCACTTAACAAAATCAATATCTTAGTGTTACTTTCTCTCCCTAACTCCACATCCTATCTATCTTCAGTAAGGTTTATTCTGGTGATTACTAACCCTTGGCTTGACACAGCATTGATTTCTATGTGGGACAGGAACACCACAGAAATATAAGGTCAACAGTGAGAGCTTCTGATCAATTCTCTCCGAGTACAATCTACCCAAACATTGCTGAGAATCTCCACTTCCAAGTGAACATTACTGTGACTGACAACAAACCTTTTGTAAAATTAAGAGATACTACAATATTATGCACTTAGTTAATCACCTGAAAACACCTGTCATTCTGTGTGCTCCACTGAGTCACCAGGAGGAACTCTAATTACCACTTCTCTGCATACAACTTACCTGGCTACTGAGGAGACTATGTTTTTATGGGCTGATGAACAAAGGAATTTAGTCTCTTCAGGTAACAGTCATGGAGATAGATCTGTACCAGGCCAGGTGATGTAATAATGCAAACAGCAGACTAATTTCCACTAAGAGATTGTGTGTGTCCTGATGCTGACCTCACAAGTAGTAGACCAGTATGGCTATAATCCTAGCTGTTCAAAGAGGCTATACCTGGGCAAGGTTGAGTTGGTGAGTAACTGTGATATCTTAAATGCTAAGATATGATTATCAAACAGTATTATTCACTGTATAAGAAGTGAAGAAAATTACACTCATTTCATAGCTTGTCTTTGCCAGGATATATACTAATACTGACTGAGCCGAGCAACATGGTTGCTAAATCCAAGTCTTTGAACAGGATTGTCTACCAGTCACTAAAATAAATGCATCTTAATACAACAATGCTTTAGAATGAAATAAACAAAGTCAAAACAATGTGTTAATAAACCTGCAGTGAAAATACAACCAATGTCAGTACACCCAAAATTCGAGGAAGTACTGTCATCTTCCAAACACCCACTTCCACCTACTAACCCTCGAAGCATGTTTCGCATGTGGCTTATCAGTTCTTGGTGATAAGACACTAAAACTGTGCCAATGAATTCTGGTTGACAAATTCCTTTGAACCCAGTCACAGTTTACCTTACAATTAATGGATGCCATACTGTCTTATCTACCCCAAGCCACATCATTACATTGTTTATTTTATTTAAAAATTATGCTGTGTATCATTTTTAATTTAACATTCAATAAAAACTGGTAATCTATATGTATTATAATCCTAGGCTACTTTTTATCAACCTTAAACTGTTTTAACTATATAAGCTGTCAGACATGCCTGACCTTCAAGGCCGAGGTCTTCCACTTTGACATGGTAAACTTTAGAAGTTGCCAGTGGAGCGAGAGAAGTTCTCAGGATGCCTTAACCAGCCTGGTCCTTCAGAAATCTACTTTTGGAATTTTATTCTACTTAGTTTTGTAGCACTGCAACAACTTGTTTTGGAAAAAAATGTCCAAATGTCAAAACCTGGACATACAGAGTAGTGTCCCCCATGGGACAGACCACTAACACACCTGACCAAATGACCAGCAGTCACTAAATACAGGTGAAAGTGTGGACACTTTGTATTTCAATTAATTTCCTTTCATTTATTGACTCCCTGCCAGGCACAATTGCTCATCTACATTGTGATCAACTACGTGTAATGCATAATTTTCTCCCAAGCAGCTAACTTCATAAAGCACTGAACTATTGCTTTACTTGGTGAATACTATACACTGTGAACCATTGGTCTCAAATTATAGTACACTTAACAAAGCAGAGTCCGAAGTTGATGTAATGTTTTTCCTTTTTCCCATAACAATGAGTCAAACAAGAATGTCGTTACAAACAAATTAAGTGGCGTGGGGTTCATACTTGTTCCAGAAAACAAACATGAAAAAAAAAATCACCGAAGACAATGAACACATATTTTGCATACAATCCATGGGCCAGATTTCCATTCTGAAATAAAATGATGATCTAATTCCCAAACAAAATTCTACTTCAACAATTCAGAAATAAAGGATAAATTTTACTCAATTAACTGACAATCAAGATACCTGCCTGCATTCTATTTCTCTAACAGCACAATAACACATTTTTAACAGAAATTAGTTCACTTATTTTGACAGGGACGAATCAAGGTTTAATTCTACATCAGACATAACCACATATTAACATCTATGATAACATGACAATTCCCCGATAATTTCAAACAATAAAAGGCAAAAAACACCTGCTAAACATACCAAGAACTTGCTGGTATAACAAGTTCCCATATGTCACCTACGCCTTTACACAACACACCTAACCATATAAGTAAACATTATCTGTAGAATACCCGTCTCAGTGAGTCAAACCGTCAAGTGAGCCTTCACACATCCCAATCTGAATGTACAGACAAACAATGGACGCAATCAGGAAATTCTTTCTGCTAACAAAGGCATGGTCAACTGTCCATGTCATCTGGTCCTCTACCTCCTACAATGTCCACCTACATGAAGTCCAGGTGATCATTATAACTGTCACCTGGCTAGTCAGCTGTCTGAGGGGGGGTTGGCC